AGGGGGGAGGCGGGGCGGGGGCTTCAGTTTGGGAAGATTAAAAACACCGGGGAGACGGACGGTGGTAGTGGCCACACAGCAGTGCGACTGTATTGGATGTCCCTGGACTGTCCCTTAAAGGCTGAGATGGTAAGTTGGATGATGTGTACATGATGCACAGGAAAACAGGAAAAAACAATAAGGCAGAAACCGACAGAAAAGGGCACGTCTGAGAAAGGGGGGGTGGGGGAGGGCGCGGGGAAGGAAGGGACCCCCCACTTCCTCCTGTTTGGCAGGGAGATTAGACTCCATGACACAGAGGCTGACTTAACTGTAAGAACATCTTTTTTTTTAATGTAAATGCATCAGGGATGATGAGGGCAGGGAGCTGCAGTCTCGGTTTCTACTGTAAACTTTCTAGACCCGCCATAAAGACAGAATCAACTGCATGGACCTGGATCCTCTGGGGTGCGGGAATCTCAGAGCCTCAAGGTGCTGGGTGAGGAAGGAGCCTGGGGTGCATCCCCTGGGGTTCCATTTAGGTGAGAATCCAGGACGTGTGACTCACCTATGGGGACCAGAGGCAGCTCAGTGGTGGCCGGAGGTGGGGGTCCCGGTGGGGGGGGTCTTATAGAGGGATGGAGGCGATCTGGAGGAGACACTGGAGTGCAGTGTCACGGGTGGCACTGTCGTCCTACGGTAGCTGAAAGATGTGCCGGGTGCTCGGGGCGGAGTGGATATCCCGCCCACACCCCTCCAGGTGACAGTCCCCACATGGGCACGTCACTGCAAGGTGCTTCAGCGCATCATCCCCTAAAGGCTCCAAGAGGGAGTTGTTCGGACGCCCGTTTCCCAGGAGAATAAACTGAGGATCCATTGAATGAAGTCACAGTCACTGGCCAAGCCGGGGCTTGGACCCAGGAAGTCCCAACCACCATCCAATCCTGCCTCCCGAGAAGCAGCCACCTGAAACCCTCATTTTGAACAAGCTGGGGACAGAGGGTTCCCAGGGAAAGCGCTGGGAGAGACAGGAGCAGGGACAGTCCCCTCCGTGCCAGTGCAAGGGGCAGACACGGTGGCTATGTGGAGGCCTCCTCCTGGCTTTCCCCGGCCGTCCCTGGGCCAGGAGCACAGCTCCTCTTGCTCACGCGGAGACCCACACGTCCCGCCCAGCTCGGCTCAGACTTTCTCTTGGAAACCCTTCCTGACCTCCCAGAGAGGACTAGCTGACCTCCTCGACTAGCTGCTGCGGTCACCACCATCAGCACACGTGGTCACAGCCACCCGTTAGTGTCTGCAAGGGCTGGATCCAGGGTCCGCATCGGAGGATGCTCAAGTTCCCCGGATAAAGGGGCGCCCCACCTCCCTAAAACCTACCACACACCCTCCCGAGTGGACCCAACCACCTCCAGACCGCTTACGATACCCACGGCAACGGGAATCTGTGCTAGTGGGTGCGCCGCACTGTTGGGGGAGTGACTGGAACGGGAAGGGGTGCACACACCCAGTGCAGAGGGAACATTTTAGAAGCATTTTTGGCCGCAGTCGATCCAGCCCGAGGATGCAGAGACCACAGACTTGGATTGCCAAGGGTCCTCCTCTCCAAGGGCTGCTCTTCCTAGCGCCACTGTAACGTGGAGGATTCCTGGTGGCAGGAGCTGGGTCTTACCCGCCCATTGTCCCAGAGCCAACCAGGGTGCTGGAAATATGGTCCTTGCCTAGCAAATACCGACTGCGAATGGCAGTGATAAAACCAAAGGTTTAAACAAAAGAGGGTTTATACTGTCGGAGTCAAGAACTGGCTTCTGTCTACGGGAGAGAGACGTAAGGCTATTTCAACATCTCAGGCCCTGGGGTCAGGCCAGAGGGAGCTTCCAAGTCAGCTGTGCGACCCCTGAGCAAGACACTCACCCCTGGAGCCCTACGGCTTCCATCCATAAGATGATACCAGGATGTACCTCCAGGTGAGAACTGTCCCTGCAGACGCATGCAAAGCCCTTGGCCCAGACAAAGCAGTTAATAAATGCTCACTAAACGGGTGGGGTCGGCGTGGGAGTCTGTTGGGGAGACACGGAACTTGGACGGCTGGGGACCCAGCCAAATAGGTGATTGGACTAATTTCTTGTTCTTGACCTCATACCACGTCTGAAAGACCCTCTTGTGTCTCAGCTGGACAGACCTGACTTTCAGGGACCATCAGACAAGATGTCACCCACGGGTCCCCCATGAGCCAAATTCCATTTGAGCCGGGAAGGCGGATTTTAAGTTTTAAATCAGTTGCCAAAATTTGAAATGCAGAAAGAGCATGTGTTCAAGTTCTGGATCTCCACCGCCCTGGGCAACTCAAAAGATGGGCCACGCTGGGCCCGCACCGTGCGCTGGACGGCACTGAGAAGCAACCTTCTGTCTGCTGCAGATGGGGTGTGGCTGTCCCCCGGCCCCATGTGGCTGATGCACCCCTTACCCGCCCGGCACAGACAGCATCCACTGGGCAAACGCCTGCCCCGGGGAAGAGATGCACAGGGGACAGTCTCATTGACCAGGTCTGAGGGCAGGTCCCTGCTGCAGAGCCACCCGAGGTCTTGGACACCTCCAGGATGTAAAGTCGCAAGCGAACAAATGGTCCCGCTTAATAATAAACCAACCGTGTCCTTGCCACCTCTCCCGGGGAAGGCTGGAAGTCCATCACAGGTGACGGAGCGCGTCCGCCACACCTGACGGAGGCCCTGGGTGCTGTGGTCCTTCTCCCTGAGCCCCGAAGACTTTCTGAGGGCAGGTGGCTGCAGAGTCCTGGAGGGAGACAGGAGCTGCCAGAGGACCTGGGCCTCCAAGATCTCTGATTGGGACGAATGATGACAAAGAGCAGCGGCCACTCCGGAGCTGGCCTGGCTCTCCCGGCACCTCCCGGAGCCCGTGGGCCTCACCAGGTCACCTGCACCCCAGGCCGCAGAGCTCCCTGGTGGGGTCTATTTCCAAAGAGTCGCCTGTTCCCAGGGACACGGGGCAGACCCCTTCTGAAAACCTGTCACCTGGGAACGGGTCCAAGCTTCCACGGCTGACCCGCTACTTCTGTGATTTCTGCCATGTTTTTATGCCACCTGTATACTAACTGGAGCGTATTCTTCAACCAACTCCTGACACCGCGGGCTCGGCCCTCGGGGCCTTGGTTTCCTCACCGGGAACGATGATGAGGACAGCGCTGACCTCAGGCAGAGGTGGTCAGGGGCAAAGGAGCCTCAAGAAGAGAAGTTCACCTGTTGCATGGCGCTCTGGATCGCGTCTGGCAAGGGAAAAGCTCAGTGCGCGCATTATTTATGTGAGTGTTATTTATGGACAAAACCAGTATGGCTTGCCATATTAAAGTGATTATGTGACAATTAAAAGCAAACAATGTCATTTCCGTAACAGCCGAGAATCGCGCTTGGAGACCATGCGTCCGGGCTTTGCTGTGACCCAGCTGTGAAGAGGCCTCTCCCGGGGTCCTTCTCCTAAGTGAGGAGGACAGGAGCCCGGCCACTCGGGGAGTCCACCCCCTTCCAGTTCTGACTCTGGCCGGGATCTGCCTGCCGAGGAGGAGCCTCCGGAGGAAAGACAGCTGGAACCCGGGTCAGGGGGGGAGCCGCAGGGCGGTGGGGGAGGGCAGTCCACATTCCAGAAGGATTTGCTTCTACAAAGGAATTAACAGCCCAGTCGCTTTAAATAGCAGCTTAAGCCTTGTTTATGGGGAACTAAAGACTCGCTGGAGAGGTGCAGGGGCCCCCAGGATGGGGAGGGAAAGCCCGAGTTGGCCCAGCCAGGAAGGAGAGGGGCTGTCGGGTTTCTTAAGATGATCCCAGACGTCAACATGGGAAGATTCCGGAAAGAGGAGGATGAGATACCATGGCAGGTCCCCTCCAGGACTCTGCTGACCACCGTCACTGAAGAGGGGGCATCTGTACCCACAGCGGTTCAGAGCACTGATCCAGCCCCTGTGTTTTCCAGGCCCTCCTGTAGGAGCGCTGCGGACTTATTTAACTGAAGTCCTGACAATACTCCAGGCCTGTGGGGCTCCTGGTGGGGTGACCCAGTGACTCAGGTGAACAGCTATCATTTTGCAGATGAGGAAACTGAGGCTCAGAGAGGGAGAGGACTCCCCTCGAAGAATGAGCCTCCTGACCCAGGAAGCAGGCACTGAGGTTAGATTATAAAAGGTCGGAGTGATGGGGGAGAGGAGAAATTTTTAAAAAACAGGTAGAAAGGGGACCTAAAGGACAGAGGAGGAAATACGGTTCTAATTCCGCAGCATGCTTTTCAAGCTCTGTCACTTCCAAATATCTGGGAAGCCTGTAAATCTACCAATCATTGCTGATTAGACCACCAATAAGTAAAGAGAGATACAAATACAGAAGCCTATAATTTGGGGGACTTTCCGGCTCTGCCTATTAATTAGGTAATGAACACCTCATCAGCCAAGGGACCCTGAGAAAGGCCACCAGAACCCGTCTTGAGGCCACCAGGCTGATGTCATCCGCTTACACCTTCCCGGGCCCACCCCTCACCCGGCTTCCTTTGAAAGAGGAGCTGGGGACCCCAAATGTCCTCCAGATGGGCCCCGAGCTCCTGAACGTGTCCTGGCTTCCTGCATCAACTGTCTGCGCCTCTACAGACGGGGCTGAGACTCCTTCCCACCGGCTGCGAGGACCCCGTCCTGGGCCTCACTGCCCTCTCCCTGGGACTCCTCGGGACCCTCCCAGGGTCAGGGACAGGGAAGGACGGCCAATGGTGGAGACAGCTGTGGGAACAGAAGGGACACGAGTCCAGGTGTGCCCACAGCCGGGCATGGCCTCCAGAGAGCCCACTGTCCCCACCACCGGCCCCCAGGGCCTGGGTTCTGTGCCCACCTGAGAGCACCCACTGGCCCTGTCACGGGAGCACACCAACAGGAGCTGCCCGCCACCTGGGAGCTGCCCTCGCCTCCTGTCCCCCCTTGAAACATGGCGAGGTGAGCGGGCTCCGGCGGGAGGGCGGGACGGCCCAGGCACATCTGCAGCTCTCAGGGCGGCCAGGGAGGGCTCCTTGGGAGCAGCGGCTGCCGGCAGCGAGACCATCGCCGCGATCATCCACCGCCGTCTCCCCCTCGGCCAGCGCTGGCTCCTGGGCCCCGGCGGGTGCCACGTCTGAGCCCAGCGGCCGCTGTCCTTCCCCAGATCAGATCCCTGGGGCCTGCATGCACCAGGTCCAGCACCTCCCCAGCACCCAGGGGCCTGTTTCTGTTTACACCCCATCCCCCCCTCCCCGGGGGTCCTGAACCCGGGTGCACAGGGGTCTGCAAAGCAGGGAGCAGGAGCCCCCTCCCCTCGCCCACACCCAGCAGCAGGTACAGATGCCACACGTCGGAGTTTTAAGCCACCGCGGATACGGTTAAGCCCCGCCCCCCAGCACCCCGCACTTGTGAACCCACCCGGGGGCTTCCAAGTGTTGCTAGGGGGTTCACAGAGGGGGGAGCCAGGCCGAGACGGGGCGGGGACCAGAGCCAACGTGCTCCCAAGCCGCGACTCAGGATGGCCTCTCAGGAGGTGGACGGCCAGCGCCGTGAGGACCAGACGGGGCTCAGGTGGCCGACACCGTCGTGAGCGGGACCAGCCAGCGCCACGGGCCCAGAGCCCCCCACCAGGCTGATGTCACCAGGCCACGCTTGCTTCCGCGGCGAGAGGGAGAGCGTGACATTTCACACGCACCGTAGACGCCCCCTAGACAGAGCCAGGAGGGGGCTGCCCGAAGGGACCCTGCCCCAGGGAGACCACACGGGGCACCTTCTACGTGGACGCAGAAAACGTGGCCAGAGAGCCCGGGCGTGGGGGTGAAGGTGGGGCGGTCCGAGGGCTGAACCCTGATGACAGCCTGTCCTCAGGGCAGTGGGGGTCGACTCAGGCTGGGGGAGGCCACCGCCCGGGGCCTGGGGCGGGAACACACTGAACCACACTCCCGTAGGCAACGATGTCACTGCTTTCTTAACTTTTTCCCTCGTATTGGGGACGGAACCCACAGCCTCACACATGATGGGCAAGTGCCCGACCACTCAACCACATCCCCAGCCCCATTTCATTTTTTTTTTTTTTAATTTGGAGACAGGGTCTTGTTTTATGGCTTAGAGTCTTGCTCCATTGCTGAGGCTGGCCTCAAACTTGCAATCCTCCTGCCTCAGCCTCCTGAGCTGCAGGGATGACGGATGGACAGGTGCCATCACACACGTGGCTGAGCACCTTGTTCTGATGGTTCTGCTGGGTTCTCTGGGGTGCACATCTTCCCGAACCGTCTCCTAGGTTTCACTGTCTCCGATTGATTATACAAAGAAATGCACCTTTGGTGTCCCCCCCCTTTGTCTTGGGGGGAGTGGATGCTGACATGTGGGCAGCTCTGACTTCTTCACCCCGTTACTGAGATTTGTCCCTTCGCTGGTCAGGCCGACCCCTTCCCTGCCTCCTGCTCCCCAAGGGGCTGTTCAGATGCCACACCCACAGGTGCTACCGGGAGAGTTGACAGCTCAGAACTGTCCTCTCTGCTTTGCTTACATTACAGGTGATTTCACACCGAGGGCTAAGTACTATCTTCTGAAAACAGACCGCTGCACGCGCCATTTCTCACCAAGCCACCGATATCTTCAACCTAGTTGCCAGCCATGGATCCTTCCAAAGGAATAAGAAACAAACAAACAAAATACAATCCACCATCCCAATTCGCCCAAGAATCCAAGGGGACAGGTTCTAAGAGAGGTTGGAGAAGCAGGAGTTAAAACGTGTTGCAGAAGGAAAAAAAAATCCCTCCTGACTTGTTCTCTGCTATAATCAGCCGCACGCAAAGCTGTTTCAAATTTACCGACAGCCCTTTAAGCGGCTGTCCAGCTCCGGAGGTATTTTTAGTTGAGTAGAAATTCACGTGGAGCTTCCAGACAGGAAGTGGGACCTGTCAGCTGTCCTTCTCCCCGGAGAGTCCCCACTTCTCATATGCACACAGTTAAAAAGTCACTCCCCCCGCCCCCACCTGTTCAGCACCCCGAGCACCAGCCCTGGGAGGGAGGGGAAATGCCGGGGAGTCCGGGCCAGGTTCAGGAGGTCTGTTCTTAATCAGAACGTCCCCTCCAGGGCAGGACCAGACGGGGAGCCCGGGGGAGGTTACAAGCAAGGCAGGCCCTGAGCCACACCAAAAAAGAGCAAATCCCTCTTTCCTGGCTCAAAACCATCTGACCCAGTAAGGCTGCGGCTCTGTCTGCCTGAATCAGCGGCCAGACATGGAGGCAGACAGAGGAGGCAGGAAATGGAAATCTCCCGCAGGTCTCGAAGCCACAGGAAGGCACCTGAGTCCGCGGGGACCCGGCCACCCCAGCGCCCAAGCCCACGGGAGCCGTGACCTCCGACAGCTCCTTCTCCTCCACGCCCCTCCTGGCCACCTCATCTCCAATTCGCAGAAAGTCCACCAGAATTAACCTCCGGAATGTGCCCAGAACCGTCCACCTCTGACCCTGACCGCCGCTGTGGCTGTGCTAAGTCCAAGTCATGGTCACCTCTGGATCTCAACGTCTCTTCAGTCCCCCCCCCCCCGTCCCCTCTCCACCCAGCCACCAGAGGGAGCTGTGTAAAACCCCCACCCAGGTAACACAGAAGCAGCAAACCACAGGTGGGCCCGGGGGCCACGCCTGTGATCCCAGCTACTGGGAGGCTGAGGCAGGAGGATCTCAAGTTCAAGGCCAGCCTCCTCGGCAACTTAGCAAGATCCTGCCTCGGAATAAAATAAAAAGGGCCGGGATGTGGCTCAGGGGCAAGCACTGGCCCAGCCTGTGTGAGGTCCTTGGTTCCATCCCCAGTACTAAAAAAGAAGAGGAGGAGGAGGAGGAGGAGGAGGAGGAGGAGGAGGAGGAGGAGGAGGAAGAAGAGGAGGAGGAGGAAGAAGAGGAGGAGGAGGAGGAAGAGGAAGAAGAGGAGGAGGAGGAGGA